TTCCTGTTTTACGTAGTCGTACAGGCGAACATTTGGGGAACATGCGATAGATTTTACGCAAATAAATTCCGTCAATAACTCCGATGTCTGAAACAATCGGATATACAATTCGAATTTATTAATGACTAAATGGAGGTACATTTTGTAAGACAATTTTCAATGTACAATTGAATTGTAAATTGCAAGTATTCGAGGAATATTGGCGCATTTCTCTTCTCTTGCTAGTCCTATCGAACCTTAGGTAGGTACCTAATATTCAAATAAACTAAATTATTACGTAAAAGTAGTCCCAATCGGTTTTGCTGGACCTTTCGGTCTTAAATCTTCTTTTACTGCTGTTTTTGATAAATCCGACAACCGTGACCGTGTTTTCCTCAAGAAAAGTAAATAAATCTTTGAACGTGTACCGACTGATTTTAACCGGTTCATTCTGAACCCCATATTTGACACAATTTTTTGTAACAGTATACCCAAATTTTTTGTGCAATATTCTTTATTGCATAAAATGTACCGTAATCCGTAACAGAAGGGCAACAATTGACTAAATACCTCCATACCCAAAGGCGTGCTGACTTAATTTATTTACTTAAAATCAATCTGATAATTAAAGAAACTAATAAAAATTAATTTTGGTTTTTTATGGAAACAAGGCTGATTAAAAATGTGTTGAATTTTTATCAACATTAATTGACGATTTTCGTAAAGATTTTTCGAGATAAGAAACCTACCCCTTTACCTCTTTTATTTTTTGATCGATACGTTTCTGACGGCACTTATGCAAGTCGATTGCCTCATGAAATTGTCGCCGACAAAAGTTTTATGATAGCGTCCCTTCAGAATAGATTGGAAGACATTCAGAAGCTGAAAGGTTGTAAAACGTGTCCCTTTCGGGGAAAAGACGATAGGAAAAAAAAACGTTGCGTGTTTACGAATTGCGTCGTATAAATATTTGGGTAATATTGGGCAATTGCTGTGGAATATGATTTTAGTAAACGTGCCCTTAAAGGGTGCACGCAGGCCAGGACTTTTATTAAATTTTGAGGAAGTTTTAATAATGGAAAATCTATAATTGTATATATTATTTAACTAATTGAATGAGATGATTTTGCGTCGCCTATTTATTTTGCATTTTCCGATTTAATTGTTTACCTGGCCATTTAATCATTTAATTGATCGTTAAATTATTATTTTTTTAATTATATGCAAAGGCAGTTAGCAGTTCATTTGTCGATAATTATACAAAATACTAAATAAAAAAAATATATAAAATTACAGATGATTGAAACATTACTTGCGCTTAAAGGTTTTTCCGCCAATATTATTTTTTTAATTCGTTAGAAAAATCGCAGGCCTTGCTGTGATTTTTGGCCTTCCCAACTGTCAATCAGGGATTCAGTATAAGACAATTATTATTCACAAACATGTTATTTAAAATGTATAGGTAAAGTTTACTGATTCTGACTCTGATGCTTCTAATAAAAGAGGTAAAATTGGAATATTTAACTTCCCTCTATCTCCATTATTTATTATTTTACAGTCTTCACCGGACGTTTTGAATTGTATAAGATTTAAGAGTTATATGGTATGGCCTTTTAAAGTCTAAAATCTACATTTTTCGGAATATTTTCACATGAATCTAACTGAAAAAAGCAACATAAACCTGAATTGCAACAGTAAATGGAACACACAGTATAATTAATTATGATGAGTTTTACGAGTCGTTTCATTGAAAATGAATAATAAAAAGTTGTTTTCGTACTAAAAGTAAACGGTGTACCTACCTACTAAAAAAATAAATAAAGGGAAACTGATTTTTTTTTTCGTTAAAATTGTATGATAGAAAGAAAAATTATATAAAATATTTATTTTATTTGTATGCTGTACATACTTTGTATGCCTAGGGCATTTTTGGTATATTAAAAAATAACCCATTTTAATTCATTACTTAAAATAAAGTATTCACAGTGCCTTTTAAATGGTAGCAAAAAAGCAAATAGGTAGCTATCGCACAATGACTCAAAGTAATGATTTCCCGAAGAAACGCCGAGGAAAACCTCTGCAATATTTATTTATAGAAACGTCGATATTTCTTGGATTAAATAGTAGTCACCAAAAATATAAAATTTAGTGAGGTAGGGCGACAGCAAAGCTTTATCGATTGTCGTCGAGAATTATGTATGTGTGTAGAAAAGGAACCGGTCGTAAAATATCGATTTATAATTTGGATTTTCATTCAATTTCGTAAATCTACACGATTTCATCCCTTCGTTCTATTGTCGAAGGTTTGCATAATTTATTCGCGTTTAAAAGTTGAAAATTTTGTATTAAACTAGCTTACAAATCCTCGTCTTGTCGCGGGATTATTCCTGTTAACTATTGAAACGGTTATTAAAGATTTGACTAATGATGCGACTGATTATAATTAGCTGTGGAACCGAGTTTAGTTAATTACGTAATTAATAAAAGATTATTATACATCAAACTTTAATAAAGCATTATTTGCTTAACTGATTCGCAAGAATATAATTGTTAAATTAAATAGTATTAGTATACATCAGAACAAATATGTTTGTAGGTGTACGAGTACATTAAAAAATATAGTAAGGAAGAATTTATTTTGTGGATAGTCTTTCACTGCAATTACGCCCAATTAACGATTTATTATTAAATTCCTCATTACGCCTGACGCTGATCCTTAATCAGACTCTTATTTTTTACGCTAACGACTCGTCTGAAGGTTGAAAAAAAAGAACGTTCGTCGTTAATTAAAAAAAAACACAAAAAACGCTAATAAAATCGACATAGCACGTGTGAACTTTGACTCGAAGAATTCAATTCCTCATGTCATAATTAACTAATATGCATTAAATAATTTTTAATTATGATAATTCTTCGGCCAAGGCTCGTAGAAGATACCTATATAGGAGTTTTTCGCATATAAAAATTTGGTAGGTGATTGTTTAAAAGGAACTTAATGCAAATATGTTATAAATTATTTATGCTAATAACGCGCTAGTAATTATATACCTATAAGATTTGCCGATGGATAATAAAAATGGATAGAAATAAAACAACTAATATAAAATCAATTAATATTTTATTAGATTTAATTGGTGCGGTATATTTTTTAAAGGAAAATAACGCAAGACTTATTCTGTGGTTGTGAGCAATTTAAACGTATTTTTTCGAAATAAATACTTTATACAGTGTGTTGTTTTTCAAGCGGAACATGTGCAAATATAGGTCTTCTATTGTGTGTTAAAAAAGGGAACGTTAGTGGGGATACTAACGATTGAATTTATTGTATACAGGGTGTACAAATGTAGTGTTACGTGTTACAAATTATAGGTGTGCCTAGATTCTATTTCTATTATTATGTGTATACGAAGGTGCAAGAAATACGTTGGATGAAGATTGATATACAAGAGGGTGCAAAAATAAAAATTGACCAGAAGTTGGAGTGTGAGGATATATATGAATTGATAATTGAGGGAGAGAAGTTACCGCGTTTGTTACGATGATAGACCGTTATATATTTACAGAAATATTTGGAGAAGTATAGTTTGATTAAAATTTGAAAAGTTGTGTACAAGTATTTCTCGGTGGTTAGTAAAGAAATGTACTAAGCATGTGAGATCTATTAATTGAGTTATTCTAGGATAGGTGGGTTGGTAATAATATGGTTTAAATGACCCGCTCGATAGTCAGACTTAAATCCTCTAGATTACTGGATTTTATAGTATATATCGAAATTTTAATTAGTCGGTATCTACTACTTTTCTTTTATTGGGCCTTTGTCGTGGCATATTTTGGTTGTGAATTACGAATATAGGTTAAATACAGTGTTGTTAAGTAATTAATTACAAGTAATTGAAAAAGTAATTGAATTACTTTTATTGTAATTGAGGCGATAATTAATTACAAGATCCTCAATTGTAATTCATTTGTAATTCAATTACTCCTTTCGTTACAATTACAATTATACATTTTACAATTACATTTCAATTACATTGGACACAAAAGTACTTATTTAATATTTTCAATACGTGGAAAGTTTAATTCCGATTGCAAATCCCTAAATAATTATTTAAAACTGACACCAAAGCAAAGTAATTGTGATTGTAATTGTAATTGTAACTTTAATTGTAATTGTAATTACATTCGCAAATTTTGTAATTGTAATTGCAATTAATTACAATTTGCCAAAAGAAATTGTAATTGTAATTAATTACATATTATAAAGTAATTTTAAAATCACTGGTTAAATAGAAACCGTAAAATAATCGGTAGATATTGTTGTTGACAAAATAATATAAATTTGAGTTTCTACAAGTCGTACAATCTATAAAAAACTCAATTTTTGCGAACCCAATAAAACTAATAGTTCGCACATCCCGTTAGACCGTGAAAGAAAGACAAAAAAAAAGTTAAACCAAACTTAATCCAACAACAAAAACAAACAGCGCGTGAATACGTAAACAGGCGGCGTTACCAATCGAGTCAAAATTTCAGTAGCCGAAAAACTCGAGAGAAAAAAAAAAGAGAGATAACCGCTCGCTAATCGGCGCTATTATCTACCAGCAAACAAAAAAGCGCAAAACCCAAATACAGAAGTTCACAAAAAAAAATTTTTTTGCCGACTAAGCGTGCCGATAAACGTCGCCGAAAAAAACCCCGACCGGCTCCGAAAACCGAAATAAAAAAAAAATGAAGAGAGAAATAATAAAAATGCAGGACGCTCCGTCGCGTCGTGTCCGTCCGTAATATACGCTATAGTATGTATGTGGAGTGTAGAGGCCCCGAAAGCGGCGAAAGCGCCGAGCGAACGCGTCCAAGTCCACCGATAATATCGGGACATTCGGGGGCCCTAGCAGTGCCCCCACCACCGCCACCACGCGCCCATCTAAGTTGAATAGGCAGACGACGTTCACTTGTTATATTGTATTACGTAATAGTTACCCCCTCCTCGAAATTACCCCCACCCGCCGGCCGTCTGCTGTGCCGCCGTGGATGATGCTGCCTGTGAGAACGATGCCGACGTTTTTATATGCCATGTTGTTAGTGTACTTTTTACTATCCATCGGAGCGCAGCTTTTTTCCTGCCTTTTTGTTTTGTTTTTTGCCGCGCGTCCTCGGCCGCAACTCCTCCGACGCTAGTGTGCAGTTTATTTTTTTTTTTACCATTTTATATTTTTTATTATTTTCGTTTTTTATTTTTTTCGTAATACTCCACGCGCCCAACAACACACGCGAATAGTCGCGCTCTTATTTCCCGAGTTGATTAAAAATTTTTCGTGTGGCGAAAAGTGCGCGTCAGGATCCGCCAACCTGGAGTCGCGACTGGATTACCGCTCGGGCGGATTGGACTTCCACAATCCCCCGATGCTGCTGGAGAACAACTCGAACTTCAGCCACCACCTGCAGCGGTCGTTCGACACGTTGCGCTCGCTGGGCGACCGGCTGGGCTACGAAAGGGGCGGCCAGATGGGCAACGGGCTCGAGCTGAACCTCAGCCTGAATCCGGACCGGCTGTTGCAGGAGAGGATGCAACAGGAGCGCAGCCTGGAACGCCTGTTGAACGAGCGCTCCATGCAGGAGCAACGCATGAACTTGGACCACACGCTGAGCATAGAGCGGTTGAACTTGGAGCGCAGCCTTACGCAGAACCTGGATAGGAATTTGAACGTCGGCGTCCAGAATGCGGAGACCAGGAGCTACGGGGAGCGACCGCCGCTGATGAACGACAGGGCGCTGATGGACAGGAATCTCAATTCTTTAGACAGGAATTTGAACAACGAAAGAATGGGGTACACTAACGATAGATTGACGGATAGACTGAGGCTTGACGGCAGTGATATGAGACATAGTGATATTAACAGGGACCTGAACGATTTGAAATATAGGGAGTACAAAACGCACTTGGAGAACTTGAGATCGGAAAGTTCAAGGTCGTTGGAAAGGGGGAACGACGAGGATCGGGGGGAAACGACGCCCTCCACCCCGCCCACCCCCATATCCGTCGGCGAAAACTTTCAAGAAGAGAAGGTGAGTCCTTTTTTTTTCGGTTTCTTTTTCGATTGTTGGAAACTCTTCGGCCCTTTTATGTATATCCAGACGGTGAAATATATTTGATCAATATGTAGGGTAACTCGGTTTTTGTGTTTTCGGCAATATTGCGTTACGTGTTCGGTGTCGTTTATCAAATGAAAATGTACAATAAATTTATTATTGAAATTTATCTCTTCAGAGGCACCCGCGTCAATTAGATGTTTGTAGGTAATTTAAGATATATCGAAAAATTCTTTAATAAATCAACCCACGTCAAATTTTATTACTTCTTACTCGAAATTTGAAGAAACTTCCGAAAAGTATCAATCAGATTAAAAAGTTTAGTTCGACAAATTTAATATACTTATTTATGCCGGTTTTTTTTTATTATTTGGCGGAGGATTCAATATTCAAACATCAAATTTAACAATTTGTTATTATAAATTACATACGTCATATCGCAAAATTAACTCTACCTAAATTTAAATAACAAACAATTACCCGACAGAAGCGGAATTTTACCAAATATAAAATTATATTAACTGTAGTTTCTTATTAATTTACAATTAAATTATTCATTGGTGAACAAGCTGTAATTATCTATCCTAAAATTAATTCGTGTATAAGCTGAAAATTACTGTAGTATTCGTTTGCGGATAGGAATTAAATCTCCTAGGAATTTAAGTAAAAGGCCATTAAGCGCCAGTATTTTAATTTAAATGAATTTACCAGGGAATTTTTAATGATTAACAAAGTTGTCAGATTTTTACAGTTAAAACGAACTAATTTTTTGTTTATAATGTTTATTAACAAAGCATTCTACATTTAATAGAATCTATTATTATCATTAAGAAAATATTCCAAGGGATATGTTTTTTGCAACTGTTTTAATATCAAATTTTGCATACATGAATGAAATTTTTATCAATTAAAAAGTTTTCCAAATGCAATCAAAATTTTGTAAATTTTAATTAAATCACCTTTGATTTATTAGTTAATTTAATGGCTTAATGATTAATATAATCATATCCTACTTTTAACAAATACTTTATAAAATACATTAATAAATTTTCTAAATATTTGCATTATTTTAATTTAATCAACGTAAGTGACACTTCAAAAGTTCTACTTTACCCTCAATTTTAAACATTAAAACAAAAATTAATTCACATACATTTTCATCAAATAATAAATAATTCTGTATACTCGGTACTAATAATTTTAGGTGGAGTTAGTAACTCCCAGTTTATCGATTTTAAAACAACTACATACCTGCCTTTTAAAAACACCATCATTTATTTAATTCGAAAATTCCTCAACCTTGAACGGTTCTTTTACAACGCTCAATTATCTACGAAATCTGCAAAAAACAGTGAAGAAATCAGCACAATAAAAATGATGCAACTGATCTAATGAAGCTGAAAATATTAAAGTCATTTAATCATTCGTTTGTGAAAATCAACCAAGCCAACCTAACCATAATAAATTTGGATTAGGTACAGTTGAAACGCCGAAGAATTCGCGATGTTCTGTAAAAGTATATCATATATTCTTGTGGAATTAATGCCATAACATCTTTAAAAACGTACCTTTATATACTAACCATTATTAATTAGACTGATAATTAGTTTAGTTTCTATTATAAAGTTCTTGATTATTAAAAAGAAAATCAGGATTTAATTAAATTTAATAGTTTCCAAATTGCTAAAATACCTATAAAACACTAAATTTAGTAGATTTGGAGATAGATAAAATACATAAAACACTACCTATATCAATTACGAATTGTTAAGCAAATATCAGAAATTTTTTCTGTACCTACATATAATATTCATTTTGCGTGCACACCTATTATTTAAACTACACGCTCACGACTGCTCTTTTTTATCATTTAAACGTTCTACAAGTGTTAGGCTACAATTAATAAGCGCTTAGAAAAAAATAAAACCCATGAGAAAAATGCTGAAAACACGGTTAATTCGGTGGAATTATTTACCGATTTTCTCCACTTATGCTAATTATCTCAATCCGCAACACTTTGTCAATAACTTTATTTTCATCTCAACATGTTTTATATTATTAGATCGTTAAGAAATTGAAACTACAATAAACAATTTGTTGTATATACCTTCGTTTTCTATAAAGAATATTAAAAAATCATCAGAACCCGGTGGGTACTTAATCGAAAACAACAATTTCCAATGCTCGAATGCTATCATTACCAAAAGTGTTACAACAATCGAAACACAAAAACATTATTAATCATATTTCGTTTGTGGACGAGGAAGAGGATTTACATAATGGCTCTTAGAGGGCGTCCTTGGATCGAGATCTCGCAGCATCGACGCTTTTAACAATTAAAAAAAAATAATTAAAGGAAACCGCGCGCAATGAGGTGTTAGACGGACGAGATGAGGTACTCGGGTGACCTCCGAAAGCGCTTTAAGTAGCATGTTTTATTATCCACTCGAGTAAATATCGAAGAAAAATAACCGAAGGAGTAGATGTGTCATTAGACAGGCGTTTTGTTTAATGAATGTCGCAGGCGAAATTTTGTTGTTGTTTTCGATCGGAGCCGGCGAAACGCGTGAAAAATACCGGGGATGTTGCGGGAATTTCGAACATCTTTTCGATTCTGCATCTACTAGTTTATACATTGTAAATATTAATTGCATGTGGAATATCGTAAAAAATCCGCAAATTACCGATTCAACGTTTTTTTTTAAGCAGGTGATATTTACAATTCCAATTCGAATTTGATTGATATATAATTAATAAAGAAAAGGTTCTGTACCTATATTTTGTTATATTTTAAAACTTTCGAACTGACATTACGTTGCCCTCGAATTCATTAATATTTAAAATAACACTGCCAATTAGAGTTAAATTATAATGAGACGTTCAATTATAAATTGCATACTGCGGGTATGTTTCTTGCTTTAAAAATTTAAATACTTGCCGTTTTTAGGGTTGATTTAAGTACGATAGAATAATTAGGGATGTGAATAATTAAATAAATTAATTCGCTACATTTCGTATTATTATAAACCGTAAATATTTCAACAAATTAAATGAAATATATTTTCATGTGATGCGAAAAGTTTCTATTTAGAGCTTCGTTCCGAACAGAAAATAATAGAGGCGGTGCAAAACAAATATCAATGCACGTCAACTATAATTTACTACGTCACAAGAAGGCAGTGTTGCCAAACTTTGATAGAGTTTACAAAATCTAAGAATTTTCTAAAATTGTCAATTAAAAAATAGAAGAAGAAATTGAAAATTATAAGTACCGATCGGATAACAACGGCAACTATGCAACTTGACAGTGCCTACTATAAGAAAATAACAATAATTTTATATACAAACGTTGAATTTTTACAATATATTTTTTTGGATAATTTAATTATGCTTTTTAACATTTTCTATCATCCCTTGTTAATATTAAATTAAATTCTGTAGGTATTAAGTTTAATATATTTTGTGTATTTATTTTTAAAATTGCAAAGTGACGTGCATTGATATTTGTTTTGCACCGACTATACATATATTTGCTGTATAAGTAGGATATAGGTATACGAAATAATCGAATATCTCTATTTTGGAAATCGATGGTGAGTAGGCCAGAAGCTATTTCCCAAATCACTATTAGTGAGAGTAATGAAATTATTAAAATGTTTTAATGACAGTATATCTCAATTTATTTTGAAGATATTGCGGCGATGACTAGCGATCATATCGGCTTTTTTTTCGTATTTGTAAACTGCAGAATTCGAATTTTTCGACGCTTTTTTCGCTCCTTCTGACTCAAAGTTTATTCGCCTCCAAATTATTTTTAATATCAATAACGAAATTTCTTTCTATTTACAATTACCGTATAGGGATTTGTAGAATTGCTGCGTTTTATTTCGATTCGAAATTAGACAAAAGGAATGAAGAAAGTACCTGCTACTATAATAAATAACGTTTTTACTACTATCAATTCCCGGTTCTTTTATACCTCCTGCTGACACCCAGCGTTGTTTAATCGACAATTTTGGCATTTTTTCGCCATCCTAAATCACCGTTAACCATCTAAAAGAGCTGTTACGATAATGTATTAAGACATTCCAAAATATTAAACGGTCAAAACGATAACATCGGATTAGTGCAGATTTTCTAATTGACCAACTTTCTAAGTTCATCTCTGCATAGAGAACAACCATCGAAGAATTATATTCGTAATTTATGCCAAGAATTAGTTTAGAAAGAGCACTCCATTTGAATGATTTCGATATTAATCTTCACCCATACAGCGTGTCCCTAAATTAATTTTCACCACTACTTCATATTATAAAATAATCGTTTATAACTTGTATTAATTGTCTTACCAACGTTAATTTATTAATAAAAAATAATCGTTTGTTGGTACTGTAATTACAAAAAAAAAATCTTAATTTCTTCGCGTTTGCCGAGTAGCATGAGAAACAGCATCCCCTTGTCTATTGTGCTGTCACATAGCGATACAACGTACGCTAGTCTTCACCCTTATAATTATAATAAAGACCGGACTCCGCACAATGAGGGGGATTAAAAAGTAGTCAAAAACTAATTTAATCTAGCGCGCCCCGGAGGGGCAAAAATAATAGCGAGAGATGGCGAAAACAAAAGAAAACGTTAGAAAAAAAATTGCAGCACAATGTGATTTTTTTCTCTCCGACGTCTTTGTACAATAAATGTTAACAGTCGCTGGATGTTAGCCGGCCCAGGAGCGCAGCGGCGGTTTAATCACCGAAGGGTTTTTACTAATTAATTTTTAATCGAATATACGAGGTGGAAGCGATGGGTATTCGACTCGATCCCGTACATTCGGAATGTTCGATAAGTATTTGTCTTCGCCCCAATATTTAACCTAGCCGCGTTTGACCAAATAAGCATAAATATGCAAATAACGAATGAAACATTAGTTTAGACGCGGCTCGTACGGGCAACCTCGTCTGCTGAGATTTTTGATAGAC